AAAAATGGTGAAAAATTGGTGTAAGAGAGGGGAAATATAATAAAATTAATTAATAATTTTTGGGGGGGGGGAGGAGCGGGAGAGAGCTCTACTCCATCGCCAAATACTGTTGATTCGCGGTACACTATGAAGGGGCGGGAGGGGTCTGCCACCGCTGCTGCTACGACGTACTCCTACTAGTCCCTACATCGAAGTCGCCTGCAGCTGGTTCATCGGCAAGGCTAGCAGCTCGGAGAGCTTGGCCGCTGCCGCCGCCGCCTGCTCCTCGGAGGCGAGGCCCGAGCCGAGCAGCAGCCCGCACGCCTCCGCAAGCAGTCACTCAGTGATCAGTAGCCGGCAGTCGTGAGGTGGCACTGTGATAGTCGTGAGGTGTCGCTGTGATAGATGGTCATGAGGTGGCACTGTGATAGTCGTGAGGTGTCGCTGTGATAGATGGTCATGAGGTGGCGCTGTGATAGTCGTGAGGTGTCACTGTGGACGGCAGCAGCCCGCAGCTCTTCATCTCGGCTACACCTCGGCTACACCTCGGCAACACCGAGGCTAAATCTCGGCTAAATCTCGCCTCGTACAAGCACAGCTCCTCCGCGTCGCTCAGCACCGGCTCCCCGCCTGCGGGAAGCTTCCGAAAAGGTTCGCGCCCATGCCCCCCGCCGCCACCGCCAAAATCAGTGGCCGCCGCGCCGTCCGCCCCGTTGCCGCCTCCGCCGCCGCCGTCGCGCAAAGAGCGCGGCGCGGGCTGCCGCTGCAGCGTGTCGACGAGCGAGGCTGCGATCTCGAGCTGAGTCGCCTAGGGTTCGGGTGCCGTGGGGGTAGGGGATTGGTTCGGGTACCGTGGGGGTAGGGGAGGCGAGGGAAGAGTCGCCGTCGCCGACTTGAGCGTCTGCTTGACGAAACGGAGCAGCAGCTGGCACGCGCGGGACCGAAGCGCCTGCCGACGTCGAGGAAAGTTCGAGGAAGGTTCGAGGAACGCTCGTGGAACGCTCGTGGAACGCTGGAGGACGAGACTCAGGGGAGGTTTGAGGAAGCTCGGCCGCCCCTCGGCTGCGCCTCGGCTGTGCTTCGGCTGCGCCTCGGCTGCACCTCGGCTACGCCTCGGCTGCGCCTCGGCTGCACCTCGGCTACGCCTCGGCTGCCCCTCGGCTGCACCTCGGCTACGCCTCGGCTGCCCCTCGGCTGCACCTCGGCCATATCTCGGCGGAAAGAGAGTGAGGGGGGGACTGCTGCTGCGACCGGATGCCGACATATCTCCCCACATCTCCCCACATCTCCCCAGATCTCGCCTGCTGCGGCGACCGGATGCCGCGCGCGCCGAGGAAGGAGCGCAGCGTGTCGGGCAGCAGCGCCGGCTGCTGCAGGAAGAAGCGGTAGTACCGCACCACGATCTCGAGGTACTGGAGCGAGACGGCGGCGTGCGGGTGCGACGCGGCAGACCTACAAGCAGAACACGCCAACCTCAGGGCACGAGTAGTAAAGTATTGTGCAGCGTCTTCAGACCACGGCGTGAGTACAACGGAGAAGAAGAGAGCGGAGTACGCCTCCTCTCGGGTGCTAGTTGGAGTACAAGAATCCGCAGTCAGCGTCTAGGGGCGGCAGACGAGGAGAGCAGGGCGACCATCAGCTCCCCGAACGGCCCGCCCTTCTCGCGCGTGGTCGCCTAGGGTTCGGGTACCGTGGGGGGTGGGGGGGGATGGGTGCGGTACCGTGGGGGTAGGGGAGGCGATCTCGCGCGTGGCCGCCTCGGGCAGCCCCTCCCCCAGCAAGTACAGCAGCCACAGCGCAACCTCGACGTGAGACCATTGGACGCCCTCTAGCCGCTCGGCGTCGCTGGCGCCGAGCACCGACTGTAAAGTCGACTTGACAAACGCGCACGCGAGGGACGGGTGCACGCGCGCGGCGGAGCGGAACAGCGTCGACACCTACCGGAACGGGTCGCTCCTCCTCAGCTGGCTGGTTGAGCGGCGCGGAGCGGAGCAGCAGCGGCGGCTCTGCTGCCTCGCGGCGATAGTCTAGGAAAGGTCTAGGAAAGGTCTAGGAAAGGTCTCGCGCCGATAGTCTGCAAAGCTATACTATTCACAGCTATACTATTCTGCTCCTCGCGGCGATAGTCTGCAAAGCTGGTCTCGTCGTATCTCCCCATATCTCCCCATATCTCCCCATACCTCTCTGCGGTAGTCCGCAAAGCTGGTCTCGTCGTCGTCTGGGTCCTACTCAGTGGAGACATGGACCACTTCATCGACGCATGCATGCACTCACCCGGCCGGCCTCGCCGTGCCCCGGCTCCTCCGACGGCAAGCCCGCCGCGCCTACGAGCTGAACACGCCAACCATGAGGGCACCCGCGGGGCGGGGAGGCGGTACCGAGCCGAGGGCGGCGTGAGGGCGGGTTCGGGTACCGTGGGGTAGGGGAGGGTGGGTTCGGGTACCGTGGGGTAGGGGAGGGTCCCGCGTGCCGAGCCGCGTATTCTGAGCAGCGCGGGAACACACGAGCTAATACCCTACCTCCACGGTACCCGAACCCTAGGCCATTTCGGAGCAGCGCGGGAACACACGAGCTATGAGTGCAGTGCACGCGCGGCGGAGTATAGTGGAATACGTGTCCTGCCGAGCGCGAGTTGCAAAGACAAAGGAATGCGCATTCCCCTTCTAGCGCCTCCGCGCCGTCGGGATGCACCGACCGGCGAGCGAGCTGGACGAGCAGCTGCTGCAGGTGCGCCTCGTGCTGCGCGATGGCGCTCGCCGCCGGGAGCAGCTTGCGAAGCCTGAGCGCTGAGTACGCCAACCTCGGGGCGGGGGGACGGTGTTGTGCAGCGGCTTCAGAGCACCGCGTGAGTACGGCGGAATATGGGTGAGTGCAGCGGAATATGTGGCCCTCTCGGGCGCTGGTTGGAGTACAAGACTACGTCTTCTGCTTCTAGGGGTGCGAAGCCGGCCGAGGTACGCGTGCAGGAAGGGCATCGTGCTCGACGACACCTCGAGCCCGTCGGAGGCGAGCGCCTGAGGAGAGGAGTGGAGGAACGAGCACACTCAGCGAAGGGCGCATGCACCGCTAGCCTGCGAGCTTTGTCCGAGGCGAGCGCCGCCAGCAGCAGCGGCATCGACGCGCGAAGCAGATCGGCCGCTCCCTCGCCCGCCGCCTCGCCGCCGCGCTGGGAGAGCCTGTCCCAGACGTAAAAAAGCTCGAGGGAACACTGCGCGACCAGCGCGGGAAAAGGCTCCGTAAGGGGCGGTCCCCGCGCCACCATCCCCGGGAGAAACCATTCAAACCCCCAGTGGGCGAGGGGGGGAGGCAGGGGGGGGGGGGGGGGTTGCGTCCCCGCGCGACCATCGCCTCGTGCGCGGCGCTGGGATCTGGGTGAGATCTGGGTGAGATCTGGGTGAGATCTGGGGAGATCTGGGGAGATCTGGGGGAGATCTGGGGATATTGGGGGAGATTTGGGGAGATCTGGGTGAGATCTGGGCGAGATCTGGGTGAGATCTGGGTGAGATCTGGGTGAGATCTGGGTGAGATCTGGGTGAGATCTGGGGAGATCTGGGGGAGATCGCCTCGTGCGCGGCGCTGAGCATCTCGACGGCGCGGATCGACTGCAGGTGCTGCAGCTTTGGCGCCGGCTCCATCCGCTTCTCGACCACCGCGCGCAAGCAGTGGCACGCGCCTTGACAGTAATTAATAGGTAATTCATTAATTACTTAGGCAGTGTGTCGCAGGCCGTGGCACGCGCCCTCGTGTAGAGGTGGCTGCTGCAGCAACGACGCGTACAGCGCCAGGAAGCGGGGCGAGCCTGCGTGAGGAAGACGCAAACCTCAGCGCGGGAGGACGGCGGTACTTGTGCAGTGTCCTTCAGTGCGCCGCGTGGACACGAGCGGGTGCGGATGCATCGAATACCACTCTCACCCCGCGTCCTCTCGGGCGCTGCTTTGGAAAGCAGGATGACAAGAGCGCACATCTCCCCGCTTCTAGCGGCGCGGGCCGAGCAAGCCGATGTCCACCCAGACGGTGTAGTGCGCCGCGATGCCGAGCGCCTTGGGTGGAGGAGGCGGGAGGTGAGGAGGGGGAGGGTGGGGGTGGGGGATGATGCGCCTTCTCGGCCCACGGGGGCGGCGCACAACAATAATAATAATAATAATAATAACAATAATAATAATAATAATAATAATAGATGCGCCTTCTCGGCCCACGGGGGCGGCGCAACCCCCTCGCCGAGCGGCAGCTGCGCGAGCAGCGAGTAGAGGGCCTAGCATTCCTTAACTAGGCTTCACCATCCACTAGTATTAACTATCAGCGAGCGGCGAGTCGAGGGCCTAGCATTAATTAACTCGGCTTCACCATCCACTAGTATTAACTATCAGCGAGCGGCGAGTCGAGGGCCTCGACGACGCGCGAGACGCACTGCTCCCGCATCGCGTCCTTGACGCGAGAGGCCGCCTGGTGGACAGATATGGGGAGATATGGGGAGATATGGGGAGATATGGAGGCCGTCTGGTGGACTGCTCGACAGCCACTCTAGTAGCCTCTTAATTAATAATGAACCGCGTCTTTGACGCGGGACGCCGCCTGCGCGTCCGACACCTCCGAGGAGATGTGGGGAGATATGGGGAGATGTGGGGAGATATGGGGAGATCTGGAGGCCGCCTGCGCGTCGAAAGTCGACACCTCCGGAGAGACGATGTCCTCGTGCACCGTCTGGAGCAGGCGCAGGAGCAAGCAACGAGTCATTACTTCACTTACTGATTCCTCATCTGTTAATTACGTGTTGGCCTGGAGCACGCGCAGGGACACGGAATCACTCAACAACTGACTCTAAATGAATGAATGAATCATTAATCAAGTGTTGGCCTGGAGCACGCGCAGGAACAAGTCCACCGCAGAGGCCCCGAGCGGCAGCGAGGCGAGCAGAGCCTGGCCAGACCCAACCAAGGGGATAAGTAGCGACGTATCATGCATCTGCTTCAGAGCGGCACGGGGGCGGAGGACTAATCATTCATCCGCGGCAGGAGGGGGGGCGGAGCGGAGCCTCGAACGGCGTCGGCCACCTCACGGGGTACTCCGCCCGCATCAGCGCGACGTACAGCTGCGAGAACTTGTTTCGGACATACGGCGGCGTGGTGTCGCTGTCCGAGGAAGAGGCGAGGCTGGCGACGTACGCCTGAGATGGGGAGGCGGTGGGGAGGTATTGGGAGATATGGGGAGATGGTGGGGAGATGGTGGGGAGATATGGGGAGATATCGGGAGATGGTGGGGAGATGTGGGGAGATATGGGGAGATGGTGGGAGATATGTCCGAGGAAGAGGCGCGCCTCCGCCCACCACTCTCCCCCAGATCTCCCCCAGATCTCCCCCAGATCTCCCCCAGATCTCCCCCAGATCTCGCCCAGATCTCCCCCAGATGTCCCCGAGATCTCCCCAAGATCTCCCCCAGATCTCCCCTAGATCTCGACGCGCCTCGAGAGAAGAGCGAACGCTCGCCTTTGCGTCTTCGCCGAGCTGCGCAAACCTGCCGCCCTGCAGCCGGGGGGAGGGAGGGGGGGGGGGGGGGGGTGGCAGGGGAGGTGCCCCCCGGGAGGGGGAAAAAGGTGGGAGTGGGTGGAGAGCAGAGGCGTTGGAGGGGAGGAGAGGCGGTGCGGTGCGGGAGGAGGCAGCAGCGAAGGGCTGTGCGAGGAGCGAGGGGAGGAGGCAGCGGCGAGGCAGACGGGGCGGAGCGGCGGGGAGGGAGGGAAGGAGCGGGGAGGGAGCGGCGGGGAGGGAGGACGGGGCGGCGGGGAGGGAGGGAGACGGCAGCCAGGGCAGCCGAGGCAGGGAGGGAGGCGCTGACAGAACGAGGGAGGCGATCGCACCAAAACTGGACTCGGTCCTCGCCAGAGGCGGTGAAGGCGGCGAGGCAGAAGGACCACACCTCCTCCGACCCCTTGAGCGCCTCGAGCGACGCGTTCGCCTGGCTGCGCAGCTGTGCGTCCGCCTGTCACAGCATTGCGGGAGGCGCTGAGGACGGCGCTCGAGAGCGGCGGAGCCGGGAGGGAGTGGGAGAGAGGCGAGACGAGGAGCCGGGACGGCAGCCGGGAGGCGACAGAGAGGCGGTTGCAAAACCCGCCGACCGGGCGAGCGGCGGCGTGGCGGCGGGCGGGGGCACTCGGCGGCGCATGGCGGTGGCGGTGTGGAGCGCCTGAACGTCAAACGACAGCAGCACCGCCTGCCGGAACTGGTCGAGGACGGAGGCGTCCATCGCGAGGCGCTAGCCGATGGCTCGCGACGGGGCGACGGGCTTGAAGCGGCAGAAATGGAGGTGCCGCCGGGCCCGGCGAGGCGTGCTCACCTCGCCGCGCCCACGCACTTCGTTCGGGCCCGAAATAAAGAATTAGGTGGTCTGCCGAGGGGGACCGGGAGGCGGTAAGCCGTCGTCGCCCGGCGCTGCATGCAGCACCGTGGCGATGGCGCTAAGAGGTTCCTCTTTTCCGCGCCCCCCCCGCAAGGCGCGCGATACACATAGCATTGGCAAGACACCCACGACACGATCGCGTCAGCCGGAGGCGCGGGCACATGGCAGTTGGTTCCATTTTCGCGAGGACGATCAGTCCAAGATGCGTGAGCTGCCGTGGCTCTGGCCCCGCGGCCGCGCGCCTCGCTGGACGCTGCGCGTGTGTGTCAGTGTGAGTGACTGAGCGTGTATCGCGCGCCTTGCGGGGGGGGCGCGGAAAAGAGGAACCTCTTAGCGCCATCGCCACGGTGCTGCAAGCAGCGCCGGGCGACGACGGCTTACCGCCTCCCGGTCCCCCTCGGCACACCTCCGCTGCTCAATGTTTGACGGCTCGAACCCGTGAAGCTTCCCCGTGCGCGGGTTACCCCGCACACGCCCCGCCATCGCCACTCTTCGCGTCCGCACTCGGCGCGCCGATGCTCATCACAATAGCGACGCTCCTTGCTCCAATGCGACATGTCTGGTACACTATGGTGAGCGGATGCGCGCGTCCGTCGAATTGAAATTTTCGCCCGGGAAAAGAGCGAACGGGACAGGAATAGCTTTTTTAGCCTTGAGAATTAGACTTGAGAAAGAATTCAAACAAAACAAGTCTCTCTTGAGAAAGAAAGAAAGAAAACACGGCAAGAAAGAAAGAAAACAGACTACCCAAGGGAGGGATGGGAGGACGGCACGCACGCCGCCACCACACAGGTATTTAAAGGAGAAGAGTGTGGTGCTTGCTAGCCGTCGGTCGCCCACCCTTGGGCGTCTGTCTGCCTCTTCCTACCTATCTCTCTTCGCAGTCTCTCGCCAATTTTCTCGCACCTTCATGCCGCCTCGCGGTCGTCTCACTCTCGTCGTTCTCTCTCCTGTCGCTTCATCCTCTGACTCATCGCTCTCCTCGGCCTCGTGCGACGAAGGGCCACAATTTCTTGTAGGCTAGATATCATGTAGGCCCCACGTGGTCGGAGGTAGAAAAAAACTGTTCATGTTACAAAAACAACAGAAACACGATCGAGAGTCTTAAGCCTAACCTTAACGCTTAAGTGTTAAGATCGAAAGATTTTAAGCAAGCCATAAGAGTGCCCCCGGGGCTTCCCGCATACGGGCCCAGCGCCACACACTCTCGACATCTCTCATCAGAAGGCAAGGTAAGGTAATTTCTCCACACACTCAATTGCATAAGAATTATGGGTAGCCGCTGAACTTGAAGGTGAAGCGCTCGACGGGTGTGTGTGTGTGTGTGTGTGTCACGTCACTGCATCCTCTGCCGGTTCCTCCGTCGCCTCTTCTTTGTTCGAATGTTTTTCAATCCATCCTTCACGAAGCCCTCCCATGTAGCTAGCGTTCTTGGCGAATGTCTCGAAGTGGCCAGCAGGCGCTGTCTGCTCGCGGCCTGTGCGGGCCGCTCGTCCTCCTCGCCCTTCTTTTGTCCTCCCGTCCCTCCCCTCCACCATGGCCTCCTCGGCACTTCTTTCTCCATCCGCCTCGCCCTGCCTTTTCGTATCGTGCCGTTCGCCCTCCATTCGGTGACCTCCATGGCTGTCCGCCCCTTTTTGGGTGGCGCTCTCGATACCGTTGCGTCAACCTCGACGTCGCTGTCGCCCTCCCCGTCCCCGCCGTCGCCCGTGCCTCGGTTCGCGTCATCGGTAGCGTCTCCGTTGCCCCCTCGTGCTCCGCCGTCGCCCTCTCTGCTCGGGCCGTTCGCGATTTCGCTCCTCCTGCGCGTCGCCCCTCCGTCTCCTCCCCTGCCTTCGTCGTCATCGTCGCTGTCGCGAAAGCCCTCCGGTCCCTCCGATTCCCTACATGAGCTGTGTCGTCTCAACGCTGATGCGAAAAGAAAAAAAGGCGAGAAGGTGCACCTCCCGGCTGTGTGTGTTTGGGTTTCTATGGTTGCGATTTGGATTTCCGATTTTCCACTCTGTTTATTCATGTATACGGGCCCAGCGCCACACCCTCTCGACATCTCTCATCAGAAGGTGTACCTCCCGGCGAGGTCGCCGAGGCTCTTGCTCTGTGGCAGGATCTCGCACACGCCGGCGACGACCCAGCTGTCGCACCTGCGAGCGGCGAACGGGCTCTGGACGAAAGGACAGGTGCAGCGGGGCGGCCAGGCTGCGGCGGTGGGCGTCGCTCCCCATCTCTGGCAGCAGCGCGTCGAGCTCGGAGACGGCTCCGGTGAGCTCCGCCTGCGGGAAGAGAGGAGGGAAGGGCAAGTGCGGTGAGGTTTACTTCTCCTCACACTTCGAGGTGTGAGCGCGGTGTGTGTGAGACAGGAGCGTGGGAGGGGGCACCGCTGCTGCATCTCGGCTACATCTCGGGTGTATCTCCGTTGCGTGTCTCGCCTGCAGCTGCTCCGCAGTGGCCATCAGCTCCTTTTTGTTGGTCTGCGCCGCGTACACGCCTGGAGCGGCCGAGAGAGGCTGTGGCAGGACGTGGGCGTCGGTGGGGCGGGAGAGGGCGGTGTGTTCGGCGTGAAGGCCGTGGGACTGCAGTGGAAGATTCGGGTTTCCACTGCAGTGGAATACAGCCATGTGTGGGCACTTGTGGGGTCCACAGTGGAAATGCAGCCACGACAAGCGGAGATGCAGCCACAAGCTGGAATGCATGATGCACAGGATGGCGAACTCATGACGCGGGCCGCGCGCCATTCTCGAGCGCAGAGATGCGACGCATGAGCGCGGTCCGCTTGGAGAGGAGCGAGGAGGAGCGGGCGGCGTCTCCCGCCGCCGCCCACGCCGCCGCCCGGGACTTGACCGACTCGCCGGTGTAGCCCTTGAAGGTCATCGCCGCGAGGAGCACGGACGTGACTTTGCGGACCTCATCCCACCGCCGCTGCTCGAGCAGTGGGCCGCAGGCGGCAAGCTCCTCCCGTGATTGCCGTAGCCTCAGCGTTAGCGGGTCGTCGCCCTTGTAGGAGCGGGCTGAGGCAGGCACAGCGGAGAGCGGCAAGGCGAGCAGCGTGGCGAGCGGCGCGAGCACGGCCGAGCGGCGAGAGAAGAGCGGCGAGCGGTAGGCACGGCTCTCATGACGCGGCGAAGCCGGGTGCAGGGCGGCGAGCGAGAGCACCGGGTGCAGGGCGGCGAGCGAGAGCACCCGGCCATCGCAGACGGATAAAGAATTCATCTCCTCATCTCTTTCCCACCTAGGCGGGGCGGGGGTTGGGGGGGCGGCGGGCGCGGGTGCGAGGTGCGGTGCGGTGCGTGCAATCGTGTGTTTGGCGTCATGTCGTGTGTGCCTTCGCTTGTACCTATTAACAACGAAGTCTAGCTCAAATAAAGAATTCGCGTCCCCGCGGCGCGATGTCCTCCGTGGGTGGATTTTTTTTCTTTTTTTCTTTTAGATGAATATGATGTGCTGCGGGTGGTATAGTTACTGATTAATTAATTAAAAATGAATTAATACTCATCGGCCGGCGGCGCGGCGCGGCGGCGGGCGGCGCGGAGCGGTCGTTGAGGTAGACGTCGTCGACCCGCGTCGGCGTCCGCCCGGACAGGAGGCTCGAGCGGGAGGGGCCGCACCATGAGAACGAGTACATGCGGTCGAGCTTGACGCCTGCGCACGCAGCAACGGTGTGCCCAAGTGGGGCGTGCATGCGCGGCGAGGCGTGCGGCGAGGTGAGGCGTGCAGGCGAGGTGAGGCGTGCAGGATGCAGGCGAGGTGAGGTGTGCACGCCACGCGCACCTTCTGCGATGAGCTCCTGGAAGTTCGGCGTTTTGATGAAGCCGCCGTCGCCACCCGCGTCTTCCGTGTCTGCAAACCCAAGGTCATCGACGAGGGCGAAGAGGACGTGGGGCTTGTGGGGCTTCGGCGCGGGGCTCGGGGTCGACGAGAAACAGAAAGCAAGCGGCACAAACGCGAGCGTGATCGCTCGGTTCATCATGAACGTTCGCCTGCACAACGGAAGGGGGAGGGAGGGGGGGGACGGAGAAGCGGTAAGCGGATGATGACTGCGTGTGCAAACGGCTAGAGGGTCTGAAACGGGGTCTGAACGGGGATTGTTGGGGCGTGGGGGACACAAAGTCAGCCTAAGCCAATGGCGTTGTAGTTGATGATGTCGGCGACTTTCGAGGTGACGAGGTGAGAAAACAGACAATCTCAGGGAGGGCTGGGAGGACGGCACGCCGCCACCACACAGGGATTTTAAGGAGAGGAGTGTGGTGCCAGCCGTCGCCCACCCTCGGGCGTCTACCACTTCCTACATGTCATGTACATGTTGTGCATGTGCATGTATGTATGTAGAAAGATGAACAACAGTCAGGCTCGGACTGGACACCAACGCGGTATGGGTGGACGCGGGACAGATGATGACGACACGCACGAGCGACACACAGACACAAACAAGCTCACAAGACACACAGCCAGCTGGCTGCCACACACCCTGAGTTGGCGTACACATAACTCAAGGCCATGTGCATGGCGCCGAGCGATTTCTTTATTCCGCGACAGGTCCCAGGGATTCCTCTCTCGTACAGTATTTTGCACAAAGAAAGAAAGAAAACAGACAACCCAAGGGAGGGATGGGAGGACGGCACGCCGCCAGGCGCGCATGATGGACACGCCGTCTGTCCCGCCCAACAAGGTGGCGTACATGCAGCTGCGCCAGCTGCTCTGCGCCGACGTGCAGCAAGCGGAGCGCGCCGCACTCCACCAGTGGCGGACGCAACGCCGGCTCGGCCAGTCGGAGGAGAGGGCGCACGCCCTCGGCGAGGAGCTCATCCGGAAGACCTTTCTCGAGGAGCTCGTCGAGAAGTGGCGGCCTCGGCTTGCAGCGGCGCGCTACAAGAAGCAGCCCGCGGGGACGGGCCTGCGCACGGAGCACCTCAAGCCCTTCTTCGAGTCGCTCGAGGCCGAGTTTGTCGTGCTGTTCGAGGCGATCGAGCGCTTCGCCATCCCCGACAGCATCACGCGCATCGCGGCGACGGTGCTCTCGACCCAGCTACTCAAGCGTCTCGACGACGGGACGCCGTCGCTGCGCGCCGGCACGCGGCCCATCGGCATGGGCGAGGCCCTCTTCAAGGAGGCGTGGCGCGCGCGCGCGAGCTGGGCGGCGAGGACCATCGGCCCGGCGCTGCTCTTCTATGGCCAGATGGCCGTCGGCCTGCGCAGCGGCGGTGAGGGCGTCGCCACCGCGCTGCAGCTGTACTGCGACTCGCCCCAGCTCGACGACCACGCCGTCATTGTCGCCCTCGACTACTCCAACGCGTACTCGACGAGCTTGCTCGACTCGGCGGCGCGGGCGACCCTGATGCTGATCAAGTGGGTCGAGCAGCTCGACGAGGCGACGCGGACGAGGCTAGCCATCAAGGACGCACTGGTCAAACTATTAGCTTCATAATGAGGAAGGTGCTCATAGCGATTTCAAATAGCGCTACTATTAGCTCAGAGGGGCTAATAGCTGAGCTTCATAACGTCTGGAGCTATTAGAACACCACTATGAGATGGGCTAATAGCGACTATTAGGGCGCTATTAGGGCACTATGAGAGCCTAATAGTGGCCCTAATAGTGCCCTAATGGTGCGGTACCCGCGCGACGCGCACTACGCGCGGCGCGGCAAGAGCGATGGCGCCGACTCTCTAGGAGACGGGCTTCCATGAGGCAACCACGGCGAACGAGAAGGTCACCGTGGAGTCGTTGTACTTGACCGTGGTGACGTCAGGCTTGGTGGTGCTCTTCATCACCTTGACGCACCAGCCGCCGGCGGAGACGCCGGGCCACAGCGAGGGCGGCGCGAGCAGGAAGCTGGTCGTGCGGTCCGCACGAGCGCGGGTGTTGCCTGCGCAACAGGGGCACGGGGACGAGCGTCAGCCCGGCAGCTCGCGGCGGCGCGCGCGCGCGGCGACGGTGCGCACGGCTTGGGAGAGCAGGGAGAGAGAGAGATAAGGCCGCTGCCGCCGCAGAACGCAGGATGTGGCTGCGTGCGGGGCGCGGCGGGCGCGGGCGCGGGCGCGCTCGGACCTTGCAATTTCAAACTGCGCACGCCCTGATCACGAACAGGATGCGGGCGGCGCAGAGATCTGCTGCCGCCCGGACCGCCGCCCGGGGATGACCCAGGACCTCGCCGGCGCTGCGCCGGCGAGGGGCCGAAGCCCGGCGGTTGATCACGTTCTCCACACCCGCGCGCGCTGTGCGGTCGCCGTTCCGCCTCACATGCCTGCGGACAGCGCCGACGGGTGGTGAGGAGGGCGGAGAGCCGGCGGGCGCGGTGTGCGCGGTCGCCGCGCGCTGGTGGTGTGCGCGCGGTCGCCGCGCGCTGGTGGGCGACAGGTCACCGAGGCGAGCGGGGAGCGAGCGAGGGCACACTGGCCAGCGTGCTGTGCGCGACTCTCAAATCGCCAAGTCAAACAAGAAAAACACCAGCGTGAGTCCTCGTCGACAACAAACCCTGCAGTGGTCGGCATCAGCGCGCCGGGCGCCGCAGGTCGTGCTGCGCTTCGAAAAGCCGCCGGCCTTCCTCTCGCATCGTCTCGTCCAGCTGCGCCTTGACCGATGGCAGCGCAAGGCTTCTCGCCGGATCCGCGATCACCGTGGATGGACGCCAAGAAGACCAGCGCTGCGCCGCACGCCGCCAAACCACCACGCTGGCGCCAGCTCGCAGAGGGTTTCTCGCTGCACGCCAGATGGTCAGCGGGCGCCGATGGCGGCATGGGCGCGACGAGCTCCGTGGCCGGCATGTCGCTATGAGGCCCAGCTATTAGGCCGGGGCGCGCCGTGAAGCATGCGGCATGAATCGCGAAATCGCTAAGTGCGCATTATGAGGGTCCATTATTAGGACATCGGCTATTAGCACACCTAATAATTGCACTATTAGCCCCTCTGAGCTAATAGTAGCACTATTTGAAATCGCTATGAGCACCTTCCTCATTATGAAGCTAATAGTTTGACCAGTGCGTGAGCGAGGTGGTCAAGGCGGCGGAGGCGACGCTGGACGACCTCGCCTTCCTGCGCACCCATCACGGCGAGGTGCTCACCGTCGTCGACGGCCACCTGGAGCGCTTCGCCGTCCTCCTCGGCTTCACGCAGGGCGGTCTCTTCTCGATGGTGTGCTTCTGCATCGCGGTCTGCTTCCTCTCGTGCTCAAGCCGCTCAAGGAGGAGTTCTCGGAGATCGCGCCCAAGTGCATCGCCGACGACGCGCATGTGCCGATCGTCATCCGTGAGGTCCCCCACATCAAGCGCCTGGCGCGGTGGTGTCACAGATACGTCACGCTCTCGATCCGAGAACTCCACCTCTCGGCGAACGCACGCAAGTTCAAGATCCTGCAGTCGCAGAGGTGGGCGAACACGGAGCTCGACGTGGCGCGCTACATCAGACTCTTCCCGTCGCAGATGCACGAGGGCGTGCGCAAGTATCCGACGGTGGTGCGCGGCGCGCTCAAGGTCAACGGCGTCGGCGTGGGCTTCGACGCGGAGGCGCGCGCCGAAATCATCATGGCGCAGGTGAAGGCGCAGGAGGACAAGCTCAAGGTGCTCGAGCGGCTTACGCCGCTGCTCGGCCGGCAGGCCGCCGAGCTCTACGGCCGCTTCTCGTGCAAGCCGTCGACCACCTTCAACCACCAAGCGCGCGGCAACGAGCCCTCCATCTCGCGCGTGCCGCTCGAGCACGCGGGGGAGATGCAGGCGCACCTCTTCCGCACCGTCACCGCCACCGCCCCCGACGAGATCCGCGACGTCCAGCACGACGCCAACCCCGCCGGCCCGACGGAACGGCGGTGCGAGGAGGCGATGCACCTCTCGCAGCGGCACGGCGGCGCTGGCTGGACGCACCCTCGGCTCGTCGCGCCGGCCGCCTCAACCGGACGCGTGATGGACGTCCTCTACCTATTGCGGCGGCTCGAGGACGTGTCGCCGCTAGTGCCGCCGCCGAGTGAGTGGGCCACGTCGGGCGTGCCACTGCTTGAGGAGGCGATCGCGTTCATTGCGATGCTCGTGAGCGACTCGGCGGGCTTCAAGCAGGGCCCAGACGACGAGGCCGACGACTGGAAGTACATCCGCGGCAAGATTGTCGCGCCCGACGGCTCGCTCAACTACGAGGGGATCGAGCTGCTCTCGGGGCGCCACTTCCAGCACGTCGCCAGCGACGCCCTGCAGCAAGACATGTACAGCGCCATCGTCGACGACCCGTCGGTACACCCGGCGACGCGTGCGCACTTCCGCGCGGCGAAGCAGCTCGGGGCGGGCGCGGTGCTAGGCATCGACGCCATCGAGGACGCCGTCGAGTTGCCGGACGAGGCATTCCTTCACGAGGTGCAGGGCTACCTCAACCACCCCAGAGGCGCCATCACCCTCGCGACGCGGTGCACCGGCGAGAGCGAGAGGACGAAGTGCATCTACCACGCGTCGAAGCTGCGCGAGTGCCCGCCGTGCGCCGTCGGCGCCGCCAAGGAGCGGCACATGCTCACGCGCTACGAACACTTCAACGGCACGCACTGGGATGGGTGCAGATACGGCGGCCACGTCGGCGCTGGACACACCTCGATCAACACCCACGTCATCTCCATCGCCCGCGCCCTCGGCGCGGCGGGGAGCCTCCAGGAGGTGAAGCTCGGGCCCAGAGACCCCAACCGAGCCGTGGGTGAGTGATCTGTGAGTGGCTCGGGTTACACCAATCCTCGCTACCCAACGCGGCCAAAGGATATCCACCTCGAGAAAGAAAGAAAGAAAGAAAACACACAACCCAACAACAAAAACCCTGTCTGCACGTCTCGCGCGCGCGTGAACAGGGCTCCAGGCCCCAAATGACGTGTGAGTGTTAGATTTGTTTGGTATTGCTAAAAATCTCTCTCTCTCACAACCCAAGGGAGGGATGGGAGAACGGCACGCCGCCACCACACAGGGATTTTAAGGAGAGGAGTGTGATGCGCTAGCCGTCGCCCACCCTGGGGAGTCTGCCTCTTCGTATCTCTTTTCGCAGTCTCTCGCCGCTTCTCGCTGCAACCTTCATGCCACCTCGCGGCCGTCCCACTCTCGTCGGTCTCTCCCTTGTCACTTCCTCCTCTGTCGCGTCGTTCTCTTCTGCCTCGTCCTGCGACGCCGCCGCCTATCCACCTCGAGAACCTCGCGAGAACAATTTCTTTGTTATTTTTTTCCGAGGCAGGCCATCAACACGACATCGACCGCCTCCTGCACGCTGGGCGCCCTCTCCCCCCTGTCGCCGCCCCTCGATGCCTCCGTCCGAGAGCCTCCGCCACCCTCTGGTGCGCGGAGCCGGCACCGAGCCGTGGCTCGGTCGCAACGGCTTCGCGCCTCCCCGCCGCTGCCGCGACACCGGCGCGCTCGTGGCGCTGCTGCTCTGCTTCGTTGCGATGGCGGCCATCGCCGCCGTCGCCCTGCGCGAGGGAGACATCGGCCGGCTCGAGACGGGCATGGACGTGACCAACCAGCTGTGCGGGCTGCGGCGCGAGGGCTACCCGGAGGCGATCGCCGAGCGGCCGTTTGTCTTTTTCGCCTGCCTGCCGTATGGCCGCCGCGAGCCGACGGTGTGCACGGCGGAGTGCCCGAAGGTGTCGGGGCAGTACGTGCGCTGGTACAACGGCTCGCTCATCTCGTGCCCCACCGCCAACGGCCGCTCCATTCCCGCCACCACCTACCCGACCACGCACCTGCAGCAGAACTGCGTGCCGTCCGCCGCGTCGCTGTACGCGCTCGTCGCCACCCAAATCGACACGGACGCCTTCCCCTCGACCCTGGAGGGGATGCTCAAGGCTCGCTGGCTCCTCGCCGCCGCCGCGTGCGCCGCCGCGCTGCTGGCCGCCGGCTGGGGGTTGGCTGTCCGCGCGCTGGCGCCGTCTCGACGGCGCGCGACCCTCAATAAGAGAAAGACAGAAGAGGTAGAGGACGGGGAGGAGAGGGACAACCTGCGCACACCTCGCGCTCTGCGAATGAGCGTCCTCCACGCACCCTCCACTCGCCTCTTAACTTGGCACCAGGCTCTTATTATTATTATTATTTATTCTTCTTCTTCTTCTTCTTGTTATTATAAGGCTCGCCCTGCTCGCGCTCACCGCGTGTGTGTCGTCGCTGCTGCTGCTCGCGGCCCTAGAAGCGGAATACGCCTTCCTGTATCCCAACCAGCGCCCGAGAGGACACGTATTCCGCTGTACTCACCCGCATTCCGCTGTATTCACTGTCTTCTTCTCCGTGCTCTGAAGACGCTGCACAATACCGCATTCGTGCCCTGAGGTTGGCGTGTTCTGCTTGTAGGCTCGCCACCGCCCTCTGGTTCCGCTTCTTGCAGGCACGCACACACACACACACACACACACACACACACACACACACACACATGCACACACACACACACACACACATGCACACACACACACACACACACACACACACACACACACACACACACACTCACACACACACACGCCGCTCACCCACGCGCACTGGGCCTTGCACTTTGAATGCCGTGGGGCTCCTGTCGTTAGACGTGGAGACGCGAGGGTCGCCCCCCCTGCCCCACCACCTCGTGTGTGTGGAGAAGTTTACCTTGCCTTCTTGCAGGGCTTGTCGGTGGCGGGGGAGATGCCGGTCCTCCAGGGCTCTCTGCAGGTTGCGACAAACGCGCAGATGGCGGCAGCTCTCGCCGCCATCGCCACCGCCATCGCGGTCGGTGTCGGTGTCGCCCTGTCCTGCGGCCTGCAGCAGCGGCTGCTGCAGGCGGGCGGGCTGTTGCGAGAGGCGTCGGAGGCGATTGCATCGCTCCCAGCCCTCCTCGTCCTCCCGCTTCTCCTCTCCTGCGCCACCGCGCTGCCCGCCGCCGCGTCGCTGTGAACGGCGTCTCTTCACACACCCGCTGCTGTGAACAGGCGCCATCGCTCTGCTCGCCGCCGCGTGGCTGTGAACGGCGTCTCTTCACACACCCGCTGCTGTGAACAGGCGCCATCGCTCTGCTCGCCGCCGCGTGGCTGTGAACGGCGTCTCTTCACACCCCCGCTGCTGTGAACAGGCGCCATCGCTCTGCTCGCCGCCGCGTGGCTGTGAACGGCGTCTCTTCACAGACCCGCTGCTGTGAACAGGCGCCATCGCTCTGCTCGCCGCCGCGTGGCTGTGAACGGCGTCTCTTCACACACCCGCTGCTGTGAACAGGCGCCATCGCTCTGCTCGCCGCCGCGTGGCTGTCTGTCTCCCTCTACATCGCCTCGGCCGGCAACACTTCCTAGACAGTTCCTAGACAGTTCCTAGACACTTCCTCATAGGACGCCTACCCAGTGCACGACCTCGACACTTCCTAGGCACTTCCTAGGCACTTCCTAGGCACTTCCTAGACACTTCGTAGACACTTCCTCATAGGCAAAGTCGAGCGCGGCGTCCTTCACGCTGATGAGCGGCTGCAGTGGCTGTTTCTGCTGCACAGCCTGGGCTCGCTGTGGGCGATGGAGGCCCATATCTCCCCATATCTCCCCATATCTCCCCATATCTGGGCTCGCGTGGGCGATGGAGGCCCCCTCTTCCGTATCTCCCCATATCTCCCCATATCTCCCCATATCTGGGGGCTCGCTGTGGGCGATGGAGGCCCCCTCTTCCGTCCTTAGCTCGATGTGGACGGCCCATTATGAACAACGCACCGCTGGCCGCGCCAGGTGCTCTTCCACTGGGCCTTTTGCGCCACGGCGGGGCTGATTGTGCGATGGTACTTCGGCGCGCCTTCCCTGGCCGAGGGCGGCGGCGGAGGCGCGCTGCTCCGCGCGTCATGCCGCACTCTGCGGTGCGCTCGGGCGGGCTCTCCTCGCCACCGGCTACGGAGTAGTCGTTGGTGAAATGATGCATGATTCGTCCCTAGGTACTCGGCCGGCTCCCTCGCCATCGGCTCCGCTGCAGCTGCCGCCGAGCCAGCCCCACGCGTGAACGGCGTCTCTTCACACCTCTGGTCCGCGAACAGGCTCGCTGCTAGTGCTGCCTGGCCGCCCGCTCCGTTTCCTGCTCGAGCATTGCTTGCACCAGGTGCGGCCACGACGAGAGGCCAGCAGCAGCCTTTACCCGCCGTCCCCTCCCCCCACCAGCACTCTCTTCACAGCAGCCTTTACCCGCCGTCCCCTCCCCCCACCAGCACTCTCTTCACAGCAGCCTTTACCCGCCGTCCCCTCCCCCCACCAGCACTCTCTTCACAGCAGCCTTTACCCGCCGTCCCCTCCCCCCACCAGCACTCTCTTCACAGCAGCCTTTACCCGCCGTCCCCTCCCCCCACCAGCACTCTCTTCACAGCAGCCTTTACCCGCCGTCCCCTCCCCCCACCAGCACTCTCTTCACAGCAGCCTTTACCCGCCGTCCCCTCCCCCCACCAGCACTCTCTTCACAGCAGCCTTTACCCGCCGTCCCCTCCCCCCACCAGCACTCTCTTCACGGCCTCAGGCGCAGACCGACGGCTCCGGCAAGCCCGAGCTGAGGTATGCCCCCTCCCTCCCTCCCTCCCACAGTGTCCTAGCTTCTTTCCTAGCTGCCCTCTCGTGTCCGGTACAGCCTCACTCCCTGCCTTATCGGTCGCTCTCTCTCTGACCGGTGAGGACCCGTCTTTCCCGTGACCCAAGGGGCGTCGCCCACTGCTCGATCTCCCGCAATCTCCCGCAATCTCCCGCAATCTCCCGTGACCCAGGGGCGTCGCCCACTGCTGCCTCCGCTGCTGCCTCGACGTGGCGACCCGCCACCTGCAGTACATGTCGCACAACGCGTACGTCCTCGTGGCGGTAGATCTCCCCATATCTCCCCATATCTCCCCATTTCTCGCTTAGTGTCGCACAACGCGTACGCCCTCGTGGCGGTATATCTCCCCATATCTCCCCATATCTCCCCATATCTCGCTTAGTGTCGCACAACGCGCACGTCCTCGTGCCGGTACATCTCCGCCATATCTCCCCTATATCTCCCCATATCTCGC